TGTGGAGTATTTGAAAATGAAGAGAACCAGAGAGGAGAGAAGAAATAAGAGGGAGAGGTGCGGTGATATGACCTTTATAGTCGTTGTCGCCACCATCTTCCTCGCTTTTGTTTATATGTTTATTTTCAGATGAGATTTGCACATCAAAAGTCTTCTTTTTTAAGTTGATGTTCTTCGTTGCTTGTTGTGGTTAAGCTGAAAGATGAAAGAGAAATGTTTTTGAAAGTTCAAACATTGAGAAGAAAATAAGAAAATCATAATGAATATCTGTCACGTGTACAATAAAAAAAATTCTTTTTTTTTCCTTGTTGTTTTAAATAAAAAAATGAAACTTGTTCATATTTTTGGAAAAAAAAAATCAAAGAATTTCTTTTGTAGGTATATGATTGTTTTTATATGTTGTTTATGAAATGAGATTTTGTTGTTGGCGCATTTATGAATTACGAGTATATTTGGATGACTGTAATTTTATATAAAAATGATTTGTAAAACTGCAAGGAAAAAATAAATTTTTTAGATGCTAATGTAAAAATAGCTTTCTAACTAATTTCTTTTTAAATAATAAAAAATAGTAGCCAAAGAAAAAACAAGGTTGTGATATGAAAAATAAAGCAGTAAAAAAACTACCCCAATAAACCTAAGGGTCTATTTAAGGCATTTTTATTAATATTACACTATTATATATTTAATTATGCTATTATCTATTTTTTAAATAGACATATATTTTATTAATTCAAAGTAAGAAAAACATGTTACATAAGAATTGATAAGTAAAGAAAACTGAAATACTAGAAAAAAAAAAAATACAAAGAAACCAAAGCGATAAACCAGATTAAAAAGCAATAGATGACCGCAGAACAGTTGCGTAAAGACTATAAATAAGCTCTGAACTTAGGTAGTCCGGTAGAGAATCTGAGAAAACATCTAACTCTGGTTGCCCGAAGACATCAAAGAGTATTCAACGTCAGGCTTCATCATTGTTCAGGCAAGAAAAACCTCCGTCCGAACCTGACAAATAAATTGAGCGTGGATTGCCGCTTAAATTCATGAGACTGTTAGCAGAAAAGTTCATGCTGCAAGAGAGGGTTCTGCACACAAAAGCTCTAGGATGTTCCCACCAAACTACAAGCACAGAGGGACTATAACTAGGAATACCCTTATTTCCATTTAGAAGTCTTTATTTTCACCCTTTCATAATGTCACACATAATGGAAATAACACTTAGCTAGTGAGAAAACTGTGGCTATTCCTTTACCCCTATATGATATATAGTTCATTAAACAGTAAGAATTGCTAAGTTTATCTTTATTCTCCCCGGTAAGCTCCAATGAATTCAATAGCCTGAGAGACATTGGGTCTGAGAGAAAATCTTGCAATTTGGGAATCAGTCGCAACTAATACTTGAAGAGTATTGCATTCAAAAAATAGATGAGTTATAGTCTCTGTGTTATTTGACAAAATAATCAAGTAGGATTAGCAATATAAATTCCTTTTTGGATTAGAACATCAGCAGTTTTAGCCTGTCTAAAAGAGCAATCCATGTGTATATAGAGTATCTCGAGAGTGCTTCTTATGCATATAGGTTAGACCAATCACTAGGTCTCATTCACAAAAAACTACATGTAGAAGGTCTTTATAAGTAGCATTAGATTTCCATCCAGGTTATGTAATTTGACTGTCCCGATTCTATAAATGGATGTCCTATAAACTCCCTGTATCCTCACTAATGGCCTGGTATACACCAGTACACATATGAATCGAGTTACCAATAGTAATATTTTTTCATGCCTTGAATTTGTGAGATAGACCTAGAAATAAATTGCTAAGCTCTCTTCCAAAGCACCAGTGATCCCATAAGATAGAGGCTTTGCTAGATATTTGTGGAGTAAAAATAAATTTATTTCTCACCATAGCTGTCGTTTCTCTAACACTTTTCCAGGAATTTAGAGGCTTGGGAGTTATATTTGTTCCAGAGAATTATACCTGGCCAATAAAAATCAGAAAGAGGATTTCCCATGTTTACATTCTTGTGGGCCTCCGAGGAGCACCGCTCGCGGGGTTCGAATGCAGAGGGTACGGCGCACTATCCCGTTAGGACAAAACGATCGAAGGCCTCTTGCGCTCGACACGAACGGGTCGAATGGTGGGCAGTTGGATCGCGCATCGAACTGACCCATTGGGGATAGATGCTGTCGCCAGCACACCCCGATGGGTAGTAATATTACACTACCTAGTGCACGGGTTTCCCCCACCCGATCCAAGAGATCGAGTGGGGTTAAAATGATTACGGGGCCAAGTTTCCCACGGGCGCAAGCCCCGGGTTTAATTACCATCCCGGCGCCGGAGCCTGAGAAGACTCTCGATAAGGATCATACATTATCTTTTCCAAATTATTAGCACAGGGTATAGACTAGGGAAATCCTACTCAAAGGAAGAAGTCTCAAAGAGGGCATCAATCAACTGCATGGGCTCATACGCATTTAAAGGCTCTAGGGTACTAAATAAAACTGGATCTCTCTCTGTGTGTGTTATGATTTTTTTATAATACTTAATTTTTTTATGTTATTATAATAGAATTATTTTTTTATTAATTTATAACATAAAGTGATTAAATGATTAATTCTTCTTCAATTAAATTTAAGATTTTAGCAAATTTAAATATTTTTTATTTGCAATTGAAATAAATTATATATACATATGTAATTAATTATTTTAATTTTAAAGATATAATAATATAATATTATCTTTACTGCGTGTTTTTTAATAATAAATTTATAATCATGGGTGGAGCTACAATGGGGGCCTTAATCAGGGCGAATTCTTATGTCTGGTCACCTGACGTCCGGACATCCAATCCTGACGCGCCATGTCACCCGAATACACTGGGGTCCGGTGTATTTGGGTGATGTGGGGCATCTGAATTGATGTCCGGACGAATCTGGACACTTGACGTAATAATTTGCCCTTAATCAGGCGAGCTTAATGGCTGAGTTACCTCTGCTAATCACTCCCTCCATTTAAATCTATTCAAACTTTGTCACCTCCTCCATCTCTTTACCCTCCTCTTCCCTCATTTCTAGCTTATTCTTCTTTAGTTCAATCGTGTTCAAGCTAATATGCCTTTAATCTTCCAAGCTCCTACGCCAATGGCGCCATTAGAGACGTTTCTTATCGAAAACAGTGAGAGGAATCCTTCTATGATGAAGGCGGATCATACTGAGCTTGGATTTGGTGAGATTAATGAGTTCTGTGCAGGCTTCCTTACAAACAATGGAGATACTTCATCCATCAACACCTCGGAGATTAGTAGCAGTAGTACTGTAGAAGCTAAAAGAGCGAAGAGCAGCGGTAGTTCTGTGAGAGGGCAATGGACTACGGAGGAAGACAAGTAATTATTCTTCTAATCTACAAAATGTTTTTCTAATTAAAAGCTTCCGATATTAATTTGGAGATTATTGCAGTTTGTTGGTGAGATTAGTGAAAGAGCATGCAGTAAGAAAGTGGTCGCAGATTGCAAAGAAAATGGCTGGAAGGATTGGCTAGCAGTGTAGAGAAAGATGATATAATCACCTAAGGCCTGGCATCAATGCATGATCTCCCTGTACCTCCTGCTTCATTTTGTTCATACAATTAATGGCTTCGAGGGCGGATCCAGCTTCTGTTTTCATGATGGACAAAATTTTAGTTAATTAAAATATTAAACAATGACAATAATAATAATGATAAATAATAATATTAATAATTATTATTATTATTATAACAACAAATATTAATAATAAAATAGTTTTTTAAAAAAATTAAACCGATATAATGCCATCAAAATTATAAGAGAAATTTTTTACCATTTATCTTTCAATTTAATATTTATTTTAATAATATAAATTAGAGTATAATGATATAAGTTATGTTATGTTGACACTAGACTTTTACTTAAAAGAATAATATACAAAAAATGAACTAAATGTAATGCTCCTAATCTAACAAAATCATACAATACCTAAGCCTGGAAGAAAATTGGAACTCCGGTCTCACTCGCTCGGACGTTCAGGTCTTCTCCATAGGATATGGATTTGACCAATTGTGAGGTTCCAAATGAATCCTGCCCCAACGTCTTCGTTCCAGACGTTAAAATGAATCGTGAAACGGTCATTCACAAACAGCCGGTTGCCTCCCAGGTGCGTGCGGCTCATCCCACAATTCCATGTTATGATGGTGACGATTGTTATTGAATTAAGAGAGAACTTGAGCATGAAGTGCATAGGGTCAATGTGTCATCTTGCAGGTGTTTAGAAATTCCAACTGCAGCCTCTACCAAACCTCTACATACAAGTTTCTGCACTCCAGGTGCTTGTGGAAATTCCTCAAAGATGCAGAAATCAGATTTATCTCAAATTGAGGTTCACAACCAAAGGTCCGGCTATGGTATTCCACAAACTCCAACGAATGGCCTAATCCTTGGAAAGACAACGGAGAAGGGAGGTGATGGAAAGACAACGGAGAAGGGCCTCTTGAACGGGGAATGCGATTGGGAAGAAAGAATCGCGAAAGCGGAACTGGCCGGATGGGCAAACAGGTTTATGATTGATAAATTTAGGGAAAAAATATTTTTGGAGGGGGGCAAAATACCAAAAATATTCTCAAAATATCAAAAATATTCCCTCTAATACATTTTTTTATTTTTTGAGGGTGGGCATTTGCCCACCCTGGCTTCAACGTGGATCCGCCAGTGACCTATTTATAGCCAAAAGAAGGAACATACTAGGCTACTCAAAACAAAAGAAAGCACTTGTTGACCCATATATCTCAAACCACGTGAGAAAGGACCCCAATTAGCGAATAAAGCATTACGCACCTTGGCGCCATGCGTCACTTGAAAGTTCAAAAAAAAACCTCTGATTGCGAAACAGATTGTGTCGTTGCGATTAGGACGTCGAATTCTGCTAGGTGCTACTGGCCTTCTTAAATGTCGGTTTTACCGGCGGTCGAAACCGCAAAATTACTTAACACCAGCAGCTTGGCCGCCTTTACAGGTAAAGGCGCAGCGAAAATAGAAAACCGGCGGCCTAACGGGGATTATTATACCTCCGATAATTCCGGCGGTCAGTAAATGCTGATTTTCTTGTAGCGTGGACTAAAAATGTGAAAATGTTCTAATAGAAGGAAAGATGGAGTGAAGAGGAAGAGATTTCACTGATCCAAGCACATAAAGGAGCTTGGGAACCGTTGGGCAGAGATAGCCAAGAAAATCCCTGGCCGAAGTGAAAATTAACTCAATAAAAAACCACTGGAACGCGACCAAGAGAAGGCTGAGCTCAAAAAGAAAATGTAGAACTAGAAAAACATCAAGAGGCAAAACCTCTCACCTCCAAGAATACATCATCAAAACCACTGAAGTCCTCAACAACTCCACGGCCACAACACAAACGGAAACATCAGATATAAGTTTCTTGAACTGTGGAGATTACTTGAGCGTAGAACAGAGGTTTTATTTCATGGCTTCGCCTCCACGGTTTCATGAATTGTTTGAAAAAGAAGGTCATATAAGTTCTACTGATGGAAGTAATGGAGAATTTTGTACTGAAGCGTTTCTGTCATATCTGGATGGAGCGCCTGTGCCTTCTGATCAACTTGAGGGATTTCATGGAGAGACAATGGAGGATTATATGGATTTGACAGAGCTGGTTTCATTTTTCTCTAGATATCATTCAACTTAACAGAAAAGATATCCATGGAAATTTATAATATTTGTATGGAACAATTCAAATGGAGGTCATATTGGTTTTCTTTTAGATGGGTCGTCTATGCGATAGAGCTTAGTACGAAATCACTGATGTAGCAGCCATGCATATTGTGACATTTGCAGACTTGCAGTTGAAATTTCATTTTTAAGGATTTCTCCAGAAAATTTTCTACAGAGTGGAGATATATATTGAGTTTATTTAAAAGAATTTGTAATGATTTAAGTCGGGAAATTTTTTAAAATAACTAAGAGTTCCTATTCTCTTAAATGGCTTCAGTTTAATATAAGCGGGGAGTATGCTCTTGCCTTCAACTAGTGCTTCTAAGAAAGCCATGAACCAGAAAAAGCTAAATTGGCCAGATTTAAAAAGAACGAAAGATTGGTTCATAAATGAATTAATCCTAGCCATTCAACCTATTGCATCGAAATGAATGGTCACCCAAATGATATTCAAATATAGCATGTTTATAGTCGAATATGAGATGAATCCGACGAGCTTAAGATCGCTTGATTTCGACATCATTAAGACACTTAAATGCTTGATGATTGCTCTATGATCGAGGGAATCAATATGAGTCATCCGATGGAGAACTCCGAATTTACCTTGAACCTTCTCCTCCATAATTACAGGGAATGTCACTCTCAAAATCTATAAATAGACCCTCTCTTCCCATATGAAAAGGGGGCATGGATCTTTGCAAATTTCGACCTTTGGTTGGAAATTGAAGTGAGTTGTGAGGCTTCAAGGATCCTAGAGTTCTAACCAAGCACCACCACCGATGAACTTCCATAAACTACCGCTCATCCATCTACTGTCGCCGGACCACTGCTCATCCACCCATCGTCGCCAGTTGACTACGGTCCCACCACCATTGCCGTATGCTAACACCGGTCCGTCTAGCCCCCGTCACCCATCATTCATAGTCTTTCGTCGACTAAAGTCCCTTTGACTCCCATCATCTGCCAATTACAGTCCCTCCAATCACCATTGTACGTCGACAACAGTCCATAATACCATCAATGCATGTTGACTACTGTCCCTCAAACCGCCATCACTCATCGACTTTGGTCTCCCCGTCCACTATGTAACCTACCTAGCTACCAACTATGGTCCCTCCGGCCACCATCGCCCACCAAGTAACCGTCGTCGCCCACAAAATACTATATCTTCTTCCACTATCACTTACCAAATATGGTCCCTCTGGCCACCGCCGCCTGCCAACTATGGTCCCACCACCATTGTCATCCATCAAATTCAATCCCACAAAGCACTGTCGACCCCAGACTACAGTCCCACAAACCACCATCGTCCATCGACTATGGTCCCTCCTACCACCGTCATCTGTCGACTATGATCCCTCCGACCACTATTGCCTACCTGACTACGGCCCCTTCGACAACCATTGCCTCTTCGACTATGATTCCTGTGACC